AAAAAAAAAAAAAAAATGATATTTGACGTTTATCAATTTGGTTTTGACAGAAGTTAAACAATTTGTAACTTGGATTTTTTTTTTCAAATTTCATTATTAAAACGACATTTGACGTTTATCAAACAAAAGTTAAGCAAAAAGACATTTAGCTAATTTCATTTCCATAACGAAATGTGACATTTATAATTTTGTTTTAACAATTAATTGATAAAAGTTATTTACATTACTTAAATTGTTTTAACATTAATTAATTATATAAAAAAAAGTTGAAAAGTAAATTATAAATGAAGCAATGAGTGTAAAAAGCAATGAAAATGTTTTGGTGCCAATGGTTTCCAAGACACAATTAGGCAGAAAATGAGTGCTAAAGTAGAAATATAAAATGCAAAACGGCAATTGCGCCATTCTTGTCGGTCCGCTTCAATACGCGCCTAATTCACTGTCACATCGCGAAAACTCTCTTCGGTCTAAAAAAATAATAATAATAAAATAACGGGGACCATCGGGGAGGACATTTCCTCCACCCAGTCTGGGTTTCCTGAAGAAAACAAACATAAAAGGAATAATACAATACGAAGAGAAACGAACGTTCTTTCAATACCTTCGTTGTACTTAACAAAATTAATTTATTTGAAAAAAGAAACGTGTTTTATTTAGTACAATAAGAATAATTAGTTTGAATAGAATAGTATTTAGAATTGTTGCAACTTTCTATTTAGTTATCAACCTTAAGATATTCAGTTGCATATACCTCACCTCACATAGTGCGGTTTCGATTAGTACGGATTCACTGTTGAAAGGATCTAAATTTTACTTGAACAAAATGAAATATAATTCTACAAAATTAGTTTACAAAATTATTTTGTGCTATTTATTTTTAAGTGGTTAATGTACTCAATTTGTGCGCTTTTACGCGGTTTAAGTACTCGATTAGTGCGGTTTCAATCAGTAAAGGGTATAAGTGGAACTGATTATTCGCACTATGCGAGGTATTGCTGTATTAGTACTTGTAACTATAGCAAATCGTACCATTTTTATTAAAGTATTAATTTTATGGTCACCTGATATTGCTTAACTTTTGTTAACTTTCAAACACGAAATATTTTATAGTTTATATTGTTTTATATAGAAATAGCATTTTTATGAACGAATCAGTTGATATTTATAACATGAAAAGATGATTTTTATAGAATTGTTTGTGGAAAATAATTATATTTCATATTGTTTTACATATATAGTATGTTTTAGTTTTAAAAATGAATAAGTTTTAATAAAAGTTAAGCAAGAAATGGACATAAATGGATAACACAAAACGGTGATTTCTTGAGATATGAATGAATGATCTGTAATAAAAATTAAGCAAGAAACGAAAAACGCTTAACTTATAAATTCGTTTTTTGTTGAAACAAAATGAAGATTTTTGTAAAATTTTCCGTGTCATATCATACTGTAATTTTATGAATGAATGAGTTGTAATAGAAGTTAAGCAAGAAATGGATGTCGCGTAACTTAGAAACTTGTTTGTTGATAAAACAAAAGGTTGAATGTTTCATCGTCGTCCGTTGGAATGGAATTATATGTGCATGTGTGTTTATGTTTGTGGAAGCACTCGACGAGTGGTATCCAATTTTCCGTCTGTCCCCATCCGAATCCAATTATACTATTTCGAATGCTTTCGTTCCATTTACAAAAGGGAAGTAACGCGCACTTTATTCTCACTATTTGTCTACATACATCGATCCCCGAAGTTTTCCACAAGAAGACGTAGATGAAATTGTGGTGCACAAAGAGATTGCGCGGAAAGGTGGGATTAGCGAAATTAACTTAATTTCCTCGTCGCAAGATGAAAACATCCACGGTACTTTGTTCCCATCTCAAAGGGATGTTCGCGTTTCGCGGATCTCTCTTCTGGTATTTACATTTTCCGGAAGACAGACCACCAATGGGCGTGTGTATATACAAGGAATACGTTACCGGAAAATGGAGGAACTGAATGGTGTATCGAAGAAGAAGGAAAAAAAATACGTGAATAAGTGGGAAATGGGGATGTACACCCTCCCTATTTGTATTCAGATAAACGTGAAAAGGGGTTGTAATTTTATTTTGCTCTCGGACAACTTAACAGACGTATTCCGATACAGATTCCATCCAGTCTCTTGACAATTTCAATTAAAGGCAAAAGCATACACAAATAAAAAATAATAAATGATAAAAAAAGGGATGAAATTTCTTGAAAAGAACATTGAAAAATCGAAATATTCAATTACAATTCTTTTTATATTTATTAAACGAATGTTAGATTAAAAGACAAATGTTTATTTCACAACATATATAAACTGATAATAGTATAAATATATAGTTTATTACCTAACATAATGGAAACAAATAGTTTTTAGCCCATAGATTGCATGGAAAAACTACTTATATAAAAATAAGTCACTTTTTATATTTATTAAACGAATGTTAGATTAAATGACAAATGTTTATTTCACAACATACATAAACTGATAATACAATAAATAAATAAATAACTATAGTTTATTACCTAATCTAATGGAAACAGATAGTTTTTAGCCCATACATTGCATGGAAAAACTACTTATATAAAAATAAATCTCATTCAATTTTATAACTTATATGTTAATAAATAATTATTAATTAAGTTTACAACTACTTACAGTTACAAATTATCATTATTGTATATACAAACACATTATGCTTTAAAATCAACAAGAATGACAGTTAAGAGTACCAACCACTACTGACAACATCAGTGGTCGGCAAATGGCATCGGTGCCTCATGCGGCTCTATTGATTGGAAATTGCGGCTCCTAACACTCAATACGATGTTACGTGCGGCTCCCTAGACGTTTTTTTAATAGAAAATGGCTCTTTGTCGCAATAAAGTTGCCTACGTAATTCAGTGATAAATATAATTGATACCATGAAAACAGTACAATTATTTGAAAAATGTGTACCAACTTAATTAAATGTAAAAAAAGTGCAATTAAGAAAACTTTCCATTTATTAATTTTTGTTTGTTAGACAAGCGTAGTATTGTAGTAATGACTACAATGAAGCAATAAAATTATATAATAATTTAGAAATATATAAAAAATAATGAAAATTTGACTTCTTTTAAGTGAATGATAAGTATAAGTGTTATAAGAAATTGCTAGTAAAATGGTGGATGCGCCTGCTATTAGGAATATTTACATAAATATAAGCCTATACATTGTTATTAAGTTTAATTTTAAAGAAATAAACGTAACTTTTGTTTACAAGTAAAATTATTATATAATAATTGAATTAAAAATATTCATAATTTTTATAAGATTGTTTATATCTCAATTTAATTATTAATTATTTCATAAAAATGTATGCATTTTTAGTCACTATTAACAAATTCATACAGTAAAAGTATTTATCAAAAAGTTGATTGATGCTTACTGTTACTGTTTTCTTAAGTATATTGATTAGTTTTTCTTTTACTTAGATACCAAATTATGTAATGGAACAAAATTAATTAAATTCTAAATCAATCGTTATAATTTAATTAAAGTAAAAAATAATGTACTTACTTTTTTGTATTTGGTGGAAGCGCCGGGTTTTATAATTTTAATCTTAATTAATTATAAAAAATACCATTAACGTGTATTTCTGTAGTAAAATTAAATTAATTAAATAAATTTTAACTTAATTCTTAAATTTTCAGTGTTTAAGAGCTGTAAAGAGAATAACAACAAATTAATAAAAAGATTATTCATTCTTTATTTGGTAACTATAGTTAACATTATTTATTTATTTGTTTCTTTACATTTACAATAATTACTTAATTAGTCTAATATTTAAAAAAAAAAACGTATGTGGTAAAATCAATAGTATGTAAAAAATAAACTGAAAACATAACGTAACATATAACAATCAACCGAGATGAAAAAATAATAAACAATAAAACAAAAAGATATGTCTTTCGTGTAGAATTTTTTCTGGTTAACAATTTGCCCAGATGTAAATAATAATTACAATAGTCTCAGATATACATATACAATAAAAAAAAACAGTTATTTACAAAATAAAGTCTTTCGGATCACAAGTCCTAATGTGAGAGAGTTCTAGACTCTAGAGCACGAACATATAGATAGAGAGAGAGAGAACACTTCGTTAAAATTGCACTATTAAGAATATTTTTTTTTGATTCAATCGTCCTTAATCAATATATAATATATATTTTTGTTTGTTAATAATAATAAAATCACATTCAATTTGTTTATCTTTGAAACGAAGAGAAAGTAAGTATTCTACTTTTATGTTGTTGTTGTTGTTGTATTACATTCGAATTGTAATGAATTATGAGGTGTTGACGTCGAGCTCGATGGGACTTTTGGTGTCTCGATCGGAGCAGGCGGCGGCGTCTTTGATCGTGACCGTGGAGGCGGCGATCGGTGGAAAGGTTATGGTCGACGTGGATGAGGATGTCGAGGATGCTGATGAGGTGGCGAGACTCGCGATGTCCGTCCACCAGGTGCCAAGGTTCATCCGTTCAGGAAGAACCGGAAGTGGTTTTCATATGACGTGCGCGGGAACCTGATCGTTCCGGAACTCGTCGTTCTTCATGATCACGCAGACGGGCCTCTTGATCGTCTCCGGACTTGGCGTCCGTCGCGGGAAAGCCGGAGGGCAGATGTTGCAGGGACTTCCCATGCCGCTCAGATTCGAGATGGGCCAGTTCAATCCTGGCGGATATAACGGGTTGTTGCTGTAGAGAAGCGCCAATTCTGCTGCGAATTTCGATTCATCGACTGGATGTCTGAACGGGTAGAGGTACGGCAGAGGCGGGAACATCGAGCGATGGATCTTCAGGTGATCTGAATCCGGTGTGAGGAGACTCGAAGTGAGACTTGAGGCTGAGCTGATCGGAGGGATCAGAGATCTGGAGAGCTGATGGGAGTCCGGCGGAGACATGTGCGACATCGGGAAGCCGAACTTTTGCTCTTTCTTCATCAGAGGTTTCGGTTTCCTTCTAGGTCTGTACTTGTAATCCGGATGCTCCTTCATGTGCAGCGCCCTGCGAACAAACAAATCGAAACACTGTTTTAGAGGAAAACAAAAATGATGATGCTGTGGGCGGAGAGAGGATTCGTCCCTTTTCCTGGACTCTCCACTACTTCATGAGTGTATATTTGTATGTACGTGTGTGTGTTGAATAAAGGGAGTTGGTGCGTGAAAGGGGTTCATTGTAGTTGGGTTTGGGATTGGAGACGGAGCGAGGCGACGAGACAATCTCCCATGAATAGGTTCATAGGAGGTGCGCACTGTATCCTTACAATGGAGGCATTATCTTTTGTCGCCAGCTGAATATGTTGGCTTAGATAGTATGTATTGTGCAACGCTCGTACCCTCTGTGCTCGCTACATTCGTCGTAGTCCCCCCATTCTTCCTCTCCCGTTTACTCTCCCACCCCCCCGCGTCCTCCTTCACCATTCCCCTCAATTCGTTACATCTCGATCTATTTGTTTATTGCCATTCAAACGTTTTACACTTTCCGACAATAAAATTACCCATTCACGAGACCGAACCCTTAGTCTCGACAACGACTAATTACATAATTCGATTTTACGCCCACAGATTGGCTTCGCACTTCATTCTAATATCTCCCATTGAATACATTCATTTCACAAACTATTCTTATACAATTTATACCATTTTCTCAATTTTAAACCAAAAAATTAATATTTAAAATCAGATTATACAAAACAATAACAAAATTATAATACAAACCAACGGTAAAATACTTTGATAGAAAGAACTAATTGATTTTGTAAACTGTAATTGAAAAAATGATAAAAATTGTAATAACTTTTACTGAATATTTAAAAATACAGGTAAACTGAACATATCGATTATACAAAATAATAACAAAATTATAATACAAACCAACGGCAAAATACTTTGATAGAAAGAACTAATAGATTTTGTAAATTGTAATTGAAAAAATGATAAAAATTGTAATAATTTTTACTGAATTTTTAATAATACAAGTAAACTGAACATATCGAGGAATTAAGTTCATACGATTTAGTATGATTCGAAATTTTTAAATTGGACTATGAACTCGAACTGATCGAATCCGGACTATGCGAGGTATTGCTGTATTATAAATTTTATTGACACACTCGAATTAATCATTCTCAACGTTACTTCTAGAAGCATTTGTTGCAATCAGCATTGATTGATTTACTTAGCTCAATTTATTTCAAATACATTAACTATAATTATTACATTACAGTAGATAATGTAGTAAAAAAAATCGTATATTGAAACATATTCAAAAATACACATAATATGTGTACACAAGTTTTAAAAATGATGTAGCAGGCGCACAATCCGGGATTTCTCTTCTCATCGTCACTCGTTATGCGAAACGTCGCTCGTTAAGCGAGTCATTTTTCATACACTTCATTTTGCTCGTTAAGCGAGGTTCCACTGTATCTTAATTGATATTGATAAGAAAAAAGTAAAATCTAAATATTTAACTATTATGTAGCTAAATTAATAATTAATAAAAACTAATTAAATTAGTAATTATTGTACAATGAAAATTGTTTCATTACTTCTATAATTATTAATATTAATGTTCAATAGTAAAATCAGCGCTAATTAAAAACAAATTAAATATACTATAATAATTATACCGCAATTACTATACCAATTAAAATTATTTACTTTTTGTATACAAATATTTTCAATTCTTTGTTTGCTTAAACAGTACAAATATTTAAGTTTAGAAGCGAAAAGGCCTAACTACCATTATTGATATTAACAGAGAACTCATCGATAAAGTAAATGAATACATCATGTTTACATATCATTAGATTTAATGATAACTAATAATTATACGACAAAAGCTCCCATCAAAATTATTTACTTCCCTATACAAATATTTAAGTTTAAAGGCGAAAAGGCCAATAGTCCTTTCTTGTTTGGAAAGTTCGTGCCGATTTTTCACAAAAATTAAAAATCAAAGCTTATTATATATACATTATGTATACACCATTTTAATCATACAACTTTCTTCATATTTCAGACTAATTAAACATTACATCCTCCCAGAATTTTCCAAGTGTCGATTAAAAATTAAATCTTCTTGCAGTTAATCCAGTTTTGGAAATACCCGAATAAGTGTTAATCGGAAGGTGAATCTCCAACAATTTGTGTGGGGTAGTAAAATAAATGTAAGGGCTGTAATTGTTGTGATTTTTGTTAGTTAAATTGTGCTAATGTCATATTATAATACCAAGCTTAAAAAAGCGGTCTTATTAATATATCTTGATTTCATAATTATTACTATGAGAACTTTAAGTTTGAAATCACCATTTCTGAACTTAGCAAATCACTTTCGAACTGTTCTAAAAAATATCTTCGTAAGAAAAATATTTCTTAGTCATTTTCTATTACTTTAAAACCGAAAATGCCACTGGTTTCAAGAGGCTACAAAAACTGACACAAATCATTTGATTCAAACCAAACTTTTTGAAATGTCACCTTTCAGAATATATACACAAGTCAATAGTTTTTTATAAAAATATTCAAATTGGAATCTACTTAGCTGATAACCATAATGCGGTCATACAATACTTTTATACTAATTTCTTTTATAAACAATTTGTATATATTTTATATTTTCTTTGTTAATTATACTAATAGGTAAAATTACTAATACTAAACTGTAAATAGTTTTAATATTCACTTTGATAAGTACTTTGGAGTACTTCAAATTTTTGAATTCGATAAACTACTTTCTAATATAAGAAGACTATCACTACAAATATCATAAAGTAAACATATTTATATGTTACGAATTATGAATATGTCGTATTTAACGTTATTCAACTTTCTATCTTTGTGTGTTCTATATGACATATCATATTTGTTTAAAGATCAATTCTTAAATAACTTCAACAATTTGTATTTGTTTGTTACTTAAATTTATCTAAAAAAAAACAATATTTACATATATTTATAGGAAAAAAATGTTAATGTCTCTGTGGCTACACAATACAGGTATCCCCCGACTTACGAACTCCCAGACTTACCAACAAAATTCTAAAAGCTCTAACTTGTTACAAGGAGTTATATAGTGACAAAAAATTAACTGTCCAAATAAAAATTAATAATTTCTTTAATAAAATATAATATTTTTGGAAGACGTACTCTATCTGTTTTGTTGCATTTGTTTCTACATTGAAAAGTATTTATTAGTAAGTGTTTTATTTATTTTAATGTATTTTTTCAAATGTATGCACTAATACGGAATATAACATAATTAAAGTAAAACCATGATAAAATGTGGTAATATAAGTATATTTTGATTTTTTTTTAATTCCCACGACTTACAAACAAATTCGACTTACGAACAACTCTTTGGAATGGAACTAGTTCGTATTTGTATTTGTCTCAATAACGGACATTTGGATAGAATTGATGAAATTGATGGTATAATCAAACCATATCCTCAAGTATCAAATGCACTCACTTTTTAAACCGCTATTTTTTTGAAAAAAGTTACATCAGGACAGAAAGATCATTAGCCCTTTATAACTGTTAATTTTTATTAATATGATTATATAAATATGTTTCTATTTCTTTTATGGGAATGTTTAAAAAACTATTAATATTTAAGTTACATTACGAATTGATCAATAACCAAGTTAATAATTTGATATTCATGTAAAAGAATTGGCAACATTATGGACTAAATATGAAGAATTCGTCTCAGGAAAAAAATATATCCACGAAGAAAACTTGAGTATCATTACTCTTTTTTCGTTCTCATGGTACGGCTTTATATATATTTTTATGGAGCCAGAAGAAAAAAAAGGGGGAGAGAAAACGGCGGAGATGTTCTTTATCTGGACTCCGCAAACAAATCTATATTAGATAATATAGAGAAGCGTGTCCTTGAAAAGAAAAATTTTAATAGCGCCGTCCGCCACGCGTCCCGAAAATGCTTTAATCCTGGGTCGGCGATTGCGGAAAATCCTGAACGACTTAATATGCCCGTTAGTTAATCCTTCGTTCGGTGGGAGGAGGGGGGCGGTTTTGCGGGGGAGGCGGCGCGCGCTCCAAAACCACCCTCAAACACGAACGTTTTCGACGAGGTTTGGGTGTGTGTGTGTGGGGGATGGTACGCGGATCGGCGCCGAGGACCACTCCAAAATGTATATCCTGTTATCTTTTGTACAGCAGACGACCTGCTTTGTACTGAATCACTGGAAAGCTCTGTTTATTGAGATGAGCTTTACGCCGCGCGGAACACATGTAATAAATTAACAATTCAATTTGTCATTGCGAGGGGAATCCCTGAATCGTGAAGAAAGAACTTTTTTTTAAGAATATTAGCGCGGAGCAATAAAAATAAACTTTATATTTAAATAGTTATTATATTTTTACAATATATCTGCTTCAATTAATGCGGATTTAGTATTTAATTGAGAAAAAAATAAGTATAACTTCCACAAGAAAAGTCCACAAAATCATTGTTTTTATACAAAAAAAAAATCTTTTTCCTTTATTTCATTACAATCAAGTCTCTTTTTGTACGGTTCTCGATTAGTCCGGTTTCAAACAGGAACCGATTACTATTGCTGTACTTGCAATTATTAGCAACTATTACAAAGAACTATTGACAATTTTCTACCAAAACTTTTGTATTGCAATTTAATTGTAAATTTGACTAAAGTGAACGAAATCAGTAAATGTTACAATTTAGTATAAAATAAAGGAAACTTAAATTTATAAATGAATTGGAAAATAATTTTGTTTTCTTATTAAATGCACATTTTTTGTATCACAATTGGTGAAACTGGTGAAATACTATTGGCTATTGGATCGCAAAATAACATCTGTCACCTTATATCACAGCTAGAAATTAGTAAAATACTTATGTCAAAGCAATGGACTGGTGAAATACACTTAGCTTTTGGATTGCGAAATGACAGCTGTCACCTTATGTCAAAGCATTGAACTGGTGAAATACTCTTAGATTTTGGATTGCGAAATGACAGCTG